CACCCCATTTCTGACCATTCACATGTGTCTCCCAGTCCTGACAGGGCAGCTGCGGCAGCACTGGGACTCCTCCGGTCAGAGGACCGCTCATGTCTTTTCTTTTTTGAGAGATTTTTGCTATAGGGCGCGTGCGCTCACCGGGCAGACAGACAGAAAGTGAGAAATCACCCCCAGGCGCATGGACACCCCACAGTCTTCTCTCCTCCATTCTCCTCTTGGGATCTTGGGCACGCATGCACACGTGCCTGACATGAGTTTTAAGCCATTGGGTCCAGGACTCGAACTGCGGTCAACTACATGGGAGTCCGGCGACATAGCCATTACGTCATCTGCTGGTCCCCGTGTCTGTCTGTTCTCTGGGTCTGCTCTCCCACGGATAAATGAGGCTGGTCCTCCCTGACGGCACTGCTACGGAAGTGCAGGTGCACTCCTCCCGCAGAGGCTCAGACGTCCCTCACCCCTAGACCAGGCATCTGGCCAGCTCACCCTCACCAATCTCTCCCTGGCCTCCTCTGGCACGTACCGCTGTGTGGCCACCAACCAGATGGGCACGGCCTCCTGTGAGCTGACCCTCTCTGTGTCCGGTAGGTCTTGATGGGACGCAGGGCAGAGCCCTTGCAGACAGGCTGCGGTGGGGGCTTCATGAAGCTGAGGGTGAACCAGGAGGGTCTGATGCTCGGAGGACCCTGTCTCCTTAGGCCCCTCAAAAGGGCGAGTGGCGGGGGCTCTGATCGGGGTGCTCCTGGGCGTGCTGTTGCTGTCAGTCGCTGCCTTCTGCCTGACAAGGTTCCAGAGAGAGAGGAGGAAGCCAGAGGAGACGTACGGGGGCAGTGACCTTTGGTGAGCAGGGCTGGGGTCTCGCAGAGGGAGAGGCTGTGGTCACAGTAGCACCTTCAGCCCTCAAAATGGTGAGTCCTGAGAAGTGTTTGGGGCAGGGGTGCTCAGCCTGAGACTTAGGTGCTGGAAATCGGGGCTCGAGTATGTGGCCGGGTGTACACAGTGATGGCGAAGAGACAGGGAGTGCTCAGGGGCTGACCGGTCCTGTCTTCAGACTTGGAAAACCATCGGCCTTCTGTCCACAGGTGGGAATGGGGATGGCCCTAAGCACACAGCTGGGGGAGAGCAGAGGCAGGCCCCCCGCTGGGCCAGTGGCCCCAGGGTGCAGAGCTGGAATCAGAGCAGTGCTTCTCAGAGTGGGGACCTCAGGGGCCCCCAGGGCTGTCAGCAACCCTAACCCCCACCCAGACCCTGACCGTGACCAGGGCTGCTCTGCATGGAGTCGCAGGCCGCCCACCCCTCCTGGACACTCCGAGAGGCCAATCATTCCATGCACAACAAAACAGTCTCCGGGTCAGAGGGTGGCGTCCTCCCAGGGAAGCTTCCAGCCTTCACTCAGGATCTGTCCCTGCCCATCAGGGAGGATGCCATGGCTCCCGGGACTCTCGGCACTTCGGCGAGGGCCGGTTCCAGTCACAGACTCCTGGAGAGGCCCCCTGCGGCCAGCACCCGCACCCAAGCTCCCGCTGGTGGCTGGTGTGTGACCCACCCCACCCCTGCCCTGAGGGCCACCCCAGCTAGTAAAGCCTCCACCACTCTGTGGCCTGGTTCTTCCCGTTGGAATGGCGTTTCTCTAGGGCCTCCCAGGGAGCCACCGTGAGGGGAGTGGGCTGGAGGGTCAGGCCGGGAGCATCTACGAAGTCAAGGGTGCCTCTCCCCTCCCTCCGCTGAAGGGCCGCGCCGTCGCCCTCCCCTGCACCCGCTCGCTCGGACATTCCTCTTTATTGTTCACATTCCAACCCAGCACGGTCACATGCAACACGGAGACTGACAGCCTTCCGGCTGCAGCCCTGGGACCGGGGCGGGGCCGCAGCCGGAGGACCGGGCGGGCCGCGGAGGCCTCGCCCTCCGGAGCCCCCAGGCGCTGGGGGTCTGCACGCGCGGGAGAGCTGCAGAGAGTGGAGGGGCGGCGGCAGGCAAGTGTGGGGTAGGAACGTCCTTTCCCATCCGAGCCGGAGCCGGGAGCACCCGGCCCCCTGAAAGCCTTCTTCCTCTCTCTCCCCGTCCCGGACCCGAAGTTCTGGGCGCCGCCGGGGCGGAGCAGCAGACCGGGGAGCCGCTGGGGCCTGGGGGCGAGCGGGCGGGCCTGGCGACACCAAAGGCGCCCGGGCAGCGGCGGCCCGGCTGCATGCTGGCGGGGGGCTGCGAGAGGCTGGAGAGGGACGTGGGGGGCTCGAGAGGGGACGGGCGAGCGGGACCACAAGAGACCGGAACCGAACGACTCCGACGGAGAGTGCCTGGGAAGGGGAGTCCTGGGGCGCGCGGGCTCCGAAAGCTGGCTGGCAGGGGGTCACGAACACGGCAGGGCAGTCTCGTCGCTGCGACAGGGACGCGGCATCCATCTGTCCTCAGGAACTGAGGGAGAGGCTGCCTGAGCACGCGCCCGCCCGGAGCCCGCCCCGGGGCGGGGCGCAGAGCGGGCGTCGGCCCAGGG